ATCTCTTCTCTCTTGGATATTTTCAGGCTGTATGCTGTCTCTGGAGCTCATAGGCTTGATGAGGCTATGAAGGTCTGGCAAGGTCACTGTTTCCCAAAATGTGAAGCACATAAGAGTAACATTTCCTGCAGATGGCGTTAAAGAAAACTTTGCATTACCCAGGCAGAAATGCATTCCTTTTTCTAATTCTCTCTCAGGGCTACTGATTACTTCAAGGAAAAACAATTCAGTCTGATGCTAGTGGATCTTTTGTTTGTTTATTACATTTTTATTTATTTATTTATTTTAAAGATTTTATTTATTTATTTGAGAGAGAGAGAGAGAGAGCACATGAGAGGGGGGAGGGTCAGAGGGAGAAGCAGACTCCCCGTCGAGCAGGGAGCCCGATGTGGGACTCGATCCAGGGACTCCAGGATCATGACCTGAGCTGAAGGCAGTCGCTTAACCAACTGAGCCACCCAGGCGCCCCTGTTTATTACATTTTTAAAAATTTGAGGATGACACACAATGTTACATTAGTTTCAGGTGTACAACATAGCGATTCCACATCTCTGTACCCTATGCTGTCCTCACCGCAGGTGTAGCCACTGTCTGTCACCGGACAACACTACAATATCATTGACTGTATTCCCTGTATTGTACCCTTCAGTCTCGTGGTTTATTCATGCCATAACTGGAAGCCTGTACCTCCCACTCCCCTTCACCCATTTTGCCCATCCTCCCATCCCCCTTCTCTCTAGCAACTATTGGTTTGCTTATAGGTCTGATTCTGCTTTTTGTTTGTTTATTCTTTTTTGTTTGTTTGTTTTTTACATTCCACAAATAAGTGAAATCAGATGGTATTTCTCTTTCTCAGTCTGACTTATTTCTGCTAGTGTATCTTTAAAAATTATTTATTTACATTGTGTATGTTTAATATTTATCCCTATACACACATATGTATGAAATTATATGTATAATTTATTTATTTATATAAAAGAAGATTTATTTATTTATTTTTAGAGAAAGGGGGGGAGGGGCAGAGGGAGAGGGCGAGAGGGAATCTCCAGCAGACACCGTGCTGAGTGCGGAGCCCAATGTGGGGCTGGATTCTACGACCCCGAGATCATGACCTGAGCCGAAACCAAGAGCTGGACGCTCAACTGACTGAGCCACCCAGGGGCCCCAAATTTAAAAGTATCATACATTAAAATAGATTTTTTTAATTCAATGAATTTTAACACATGCCACTGCCACGATAATCTTGATACAGAACATCACCTCAGAAACTCCCTCATTCTACACCCTTTATAGTCACATCCTTCCTTTTTCCTCAGGAACCCCTGATCTGTCCTCTCTCACTATGGTTTTGTACTTGGAGAATATCATATTAATGGAATCATATAGCATGTAACCTTTTGAGACTGGCTTCTTTCACTCAGCATAAGTGTGTGTGTCTGTGTGTGTGTGTGTGTGCGTGCGCACATGTATAGCTTGTGGATATTTTTTCCCGTTTTTTTTTTCTCCAGTATGTAGTTTTTTAAAAAATCAACATATAATGTACTATTTGTTGCAGGAGTACAGGTCTGTGATTCATCAGTCTTATACAATACCCAGTGCTCATTACAACACATACCCTCGCCAATGTCCATCACTCCATTACCCCATCCACCCACACCCCTCCCCTCCAGTAATCCTCAGTTTATTTCCTAAGATTAAGAGTAGTCTCTAAAATCTTAATATACTGTGTCTGTGTGTTGGGTTTTGTTTCTTTTTGTTTGGCTATAACTTAGATTTAGTTTGGCACTATCACCAATATTTTCATCTCTAAGTGAAAATAAAAATTTTCACAAACTCTCATTCTGTTTTAATTACACTGCTTAGTGAATTACTCTAAAAAGAAAAAAATGGTAACTTTAAACTTATCAAATATACTTACTTGGTCTGTTTGTTGACTTATTTTTTTCCTAAAAGTAGGCAAGTTCTTCTTTTTGCTTACATATTTCAACAATTAAAAATATTTTATTTACTTATTTGACAGAGAGAGACACAGCGAGAGAGGGAACACAAGCAGGGGGAATGGGAGAGGGAGAGGCAGGCTTCTTGCTGAGCAGGAAGCCCGATGCGGGGCTCGATCCCAGGACCCTGGGATCATGACCTGAGCCAAAGGCAGACGCTTAACTTAACCCTAACTGAGCCACCCAGGGGCCCCCATAATTTGATTTGTAATGATAATCTGAGAACACAGAGTTAATAGCCTTTCTAAAATTAAAGGGTAAGTGATATTTAAAGTAAACCTTTTTAATAGTATCTTATTTCTCTATTACAGAAATGGTATTCCATTCAACATAGAAAATTAAATGTTTTCGGAGATTAAAATAATTTTAAATAGTCAGGATTATACGACACCAGCATAAGGAATGCTGATATTTGATATATTAATCTGATGTATAATTTATAACATCTTCATTCTTTAAAACGATTTCACCAAAAATATCATTGATTTCATCAAAAGGTAAAAGGCCAGAACATTCAAATAGAAACTCAAGAGTCTGTCTAGGAATAATAACATATGCAACATACAATCCCACAGACCTTTGCCAGAATTAAACATAAATTATGACTGATGTTTGTGGTTCTGGCTTTTCTTGCCCCCACACCCCCCGTTTTTATTGAAGTATAACTGATATATAACATTGTGCTTTAAGGTATACAACCAATGGTTTGATATACATATATATTGCAAAATGATGACTACAATAAGCTAACATCCATCACCTCACATCATTGCAATTTTTTTCTTGTGATGAGAACTTTTAAGACCTACTCTCTTAGCAGCTTTCAGATCTACAATACAATATTGTTTTTTTTTTTTTTAAAGATTTTATTTATTTTTGGCAGAGGGAGAAAGAGAGAGCACAAGCAGGGGGAACAGCAGAGGGAAAGGAAGAAGCAGACTCCCTGCTGAGCAGGGAGCCCGATGTGGGGCTCGATCCCAGGACCCTGGGATCATGACCTGATCCGAAGGCAGACGCTTAACCATCTGAACCACCCAGGTGCCCCTACAATACAATATTGTTAACTGTGGTTTCCAAGCTGTAAATAACATCCCCAGGACTTATTTATCTTTTAACTGGATGTTTGTACCTTTTGACCAGTTTCCCTTCTATTCCTTCCTCCCACCCTGCCTTCTGGGAACCACAATCTCTTCTCTGAGCATAATTATTTTGAGATTCATCCAAGTTGTTTTGTGTTTCAGCAGTTTGTCCTTCTATTGCTGAGTAGTGTTCCATGATAGGGATGGACCACAGCTTGTTGAACCATTCACCTATTGAGGGCATTAATCTTAAAGATAAAACCATCAGTTATTTGGGCTTATTGAGGGATAGCAGAAAATTACAATTCAGGATACACAAGCTACAGCAACATTATTGGCAAATCTGGAGAACACAGGCAAGGTATGTTTTTTATAGAGGAAAAGGGAGGTTTGGGAGGAGCTGTTATAACCCAAAAGCTCATTGTTGTAAACTGGGAGTTCCAAGAATAGTGACTTTTCATTAGCTGAGCTGTCACCATCCCTCATTAGCTGGGCTGTTGCTGGGGGAGGAGGAAAACCTTTCTTTCTCCTGCTGGAGTAGTACAATAGTATCTATTCTCAAGACTTACAAGGTAAGTCTCTTCCTGCTAGGTCTGCAGTTGATGATGAGTGGTAGGGCGTGCAAGCTCCCCTTCTAGCCTCCCAGCTCCATTTTAAATGAGGTTTCCTTTTACTAATTTTCACAAGGGACATTTGGTTTTTCCAGTTTTTGGCTATTACAAATAAAGCCCCTATGAATAACAGTGTGCAGGTTTTGTGTGACTTACGCTGTTCAAAATCTTCTCTGCTTTCCAACTCACTTAGAATAAAATGCAGTGTTAAGTGCAAGGGTGTCCGGGTGGGTCCCAAATGTTACACCCTGTGACAGGCATGGGGAAGCTAAGTGGTTGAAGCACAGTACCTGTTTCTGAGGTGCTCCCAGTCAGCCAGCAGCCGTGCTTGAGTTCACGTTGTGCCTCTTTCACTTACAAGCTGTGTGACCTTGAGCAAGTTCCTTAACCTCCTCTTCCGTTTCCTCATCTGTAAATGGGTATATTAATAATATAAACTACCTTACGGGGCTGTTGTGAGGATTAAATGAGTAGATGTGAAGAGTGTATGGAACAGCCCCTCGTATGTAATAAGTGCTTAATGAAAAGTAATGATCACTATTTCATTATTGGCTTTGGGAATTTAATTGGACCTAGAAGGCCTTTCTAGGAAGTTTGCATTTTATCCTGTTAATTACTGGCAGGGAGAGTGGGCTTGAGCTGGCAGATGAGAGATATAAGGGAGAGGGACCGGCTTGGAGACTGTTGGACTACTCCTAACAGCTCTCATAGAGTGGCAGGGAGAGACCGTTTGGAGTGGGTTCTAGAGGGAATAGAAAGAGGGCTCATGCGGCCGTTCTGGCCACATCCCCTTCGCTGATGGGGAGATCATTTTCCAGAGGCCAGACGGCTGGAACCAGGCCCTTCCGGCTTCGGAATGTCCACTACCCTGCACTCTGAGCTGAGAAACCCCAAAGGTCGGGAAAGAAAGCGGGGCTAACAGCAGAGGCGGACCTACGAGCGAGGGGGCGGGGCTTGTTTAGGACGTGTTCCCGGTGGTGGCTTCTGGGGAGCGGCCTGTGACGATCACGTCCGGCTCACCTGAAGGGGCATTCGGCACGGCTGGTGTGAAAGCAGGCGGGCTCGGAAAGCCCGAAGACTACAGGCTGAAACGTGGGGGCCAATGGAAGGCCGCGGAAAGCCCGCTCCAAGAGGTCTCGGCTCCCGCAAGCCGCCGAGGGGCGTGGCCTCTTGTAAAGAAAAGTGTTAGGCCTGAAGTGCGAGCCAATGAGAGGCGGGGAAGGCGGGGCCTGTGCGCGAGCGGCCAGTAGGGACAGGTCCTTATAGGAGGTGCTTGTGTCCCAGAGCGTGGTTACGGCTCTGCGCACGCGCGTCGGGCCGGTCTACAGGGTATCGCTGATGTTAGTGAAGAGAAAGGGGCACGGCCACAGCTCCGGGCCCAGTTTCCCCCCCACCCCCCCAGGCCTCGGGCTTGGGTCACGTGACACGAAGGGCGCCGAATTCCTCTGGAGTCAGCGCCTTTTCCCGCAGGTGAAGGCCAGAGTGCCCCGGGGGTGGGAGAAGCCTTCTGACCTCGACCCGCGGCCTGGGGTGTAGGGTCGAGTTCCGGCGCTTGCAGTGGGCAGAAGTCTGGCTTTAGGAGAGGGGCGCACTCTAGCTTGGGGGCGTGGCCTCGTCCTAGGTGACGTAGATGCGAGGTGTGCGGGCTCAACTTAGGGGCTGAGATTCGGATCCAGGTGTAAAAGAGAGGCGGGGCTCCCCGCCAATTCGTTGAGAAGTAGGTAAGTGTTAAAAGCTATGTTGAGGCCGTTCTGGCCGCACTGACCTGTGGTGGCCTAGTTTCAGTGGTGGTGGTGACGTAAGGGGGGGGGCTGGCGTCTTAGGAGGCGTGGCCTGGTTCTGGAGAGTCGTGGCCTGGTTCTCTAGATGCGTGGCCTCGTCCGGAGACAGGCGGTGTAAGGGGCGTGGCCGCGCAGAACCGGGGGGGGGGAGAGGCGTGGCCCGGCACCCGTGCGGGAGGGGGCGTACGTTCTGGAAAAGATCTCTGCACCCAGTTGCTGGCCCTGTCCTTTCTTTCAGGTGCCGCGTCATGGAGACTTTCGCGGCCGCCGCCCCTGCTGGGAACTTCTTCCCCTCCTTGCTGTTCTTGGCCTGCGGGACGCTAGTAGCCGCTCTGCTGGGCGCCGCGCACCGCCTGGGGCTCTTCTATCAGTTGATGCACAAGGTGCGGGGGCACAGATCAGCGGGGCTGGGGGCAGCCAAAGAAGGAACGAGCTCCTGGCATTTCCTGTACCTCACGTATTTTGCAGGCGGAGAAAGTGAGGCCCGACTAATCTGGGGGGCTCGGTTGGGAAATTCTATGCACTTCCCTGTCCCCATTGCCGGGTTGCAGACAAGGCCCTGGACTTGGCTTCTAGGAAGAGAGAATCTGGAGTATCTGCGTGTTGACTCAGCGCCCGGCCCATTCGTTCCCCAGTGGCCACGAGCCCTTTTCACAGAGCACTGCTCCCTAAATCCGGTGTGGTCAGAGTGGGCCAAAGGCAGGCACCTGGGGGGGGGCTGTGACAGTTGTCATGTACCTCTCAACACGTCCCTGAATAGTTGCTTTTGTTTCTGCCCTCATTTTCCACAAGAGGAAACAGGCTCAAGATAGCTTGTGTGGTAACTTGCCATAGGTGATCTTTTTGGGAAGAGTTGACCCCACAGACCTTGCTCTGAACTTCTTGGCTCCTCCCTCAGGAATCTGCCCGTTCCCCGGACTCCTTCCCCAGTCCTTCCTTTCTTCACCAGGAGCAACGGGAGCAAGGCTAGTAGCCTTGAGGATCTGTGGAGGTTTAAGGCAGAGGCCTCTGTTGTGCAGGGCAGTGAGGAAGCAGGGTCTGGGAAGCCTCAGCATGATCTCTGCCAGCAAGCCGCTGGTGTGCCAGGTGCTTGGTGGCTGTAGCAGGTCAGCTGGGCCTGCCCACTGGGCTTGCCTCCTAGTGAGTGGAAGGAAGTCTAGCAGGCTGGAATCAGCAGTCAGGCTACCAGGCCCTGGAGGGCAGGCAGTTCTGGAATCTCAGCAGGTAGCCCCTAGCCAAACTGTTTCAGGTTCTCGGGATCCATTTTCCCTCTCCTTCACCCTGATTGCCCCACTGCCCTCAAGACAGGCAGTGTAACAGAAAGAGGGAACTTAAGAGCATTGGTTGTATGGGACGTTGACTATTGCTAGGGCAAGTCTTGGTCACCTTAGCTGCAAAGGGATATAATCACCAGATGATCTGATAGGATGACATGTGCTGTTGCTCTGGACCTGGCACATGGTATGTTAGGTGCCTAACCAACATCAGACTTTCTCTGACTCTGTCCTGCCCCCCTCCTTGGGGGGGCGAGATTGCCTTCTCCCTCCCTGCCCTGGTGCCCTTGCCCTGGTCCTTGATAATCTTGCTCCTCCCCCTCTGTGGGCCCAGGTGGACAAGACAAGCATTCAGCATGGCGGGGAAAACGTGGCAGCTGTGCTGAGGGCCCATGGCGTGCGGTTCCTCTTCACACTGGTCGGTGGGCACATCTCCCCGCTGCTGGTGGCCTGCGAGAAGCTGGGTATCCGGGTGGTGGACACACGCCACGAAGTCACAGCTGTCTTTGCCGCCGATGCCGTGGCCCGCCTGACCGGTGAGGGCAGAGCAGAGAGGGCTGAGGGCTGGGGAGAATGGGATGGGAGGTTTCGAGGGGCGGAGTTTTTTCAGAGGTGGCAAGGACGGTGGGCACAGATGGCTGTGATGGATTCTGTGTTTCAGGGATGGTGGGTGTGGCTGCAGTGACAGCAGGCCCTGGCCTCACCAACACGGTGACTGCAATGAAGAACGCCCAGATAGCTCAGTCCCCAGTCCTGCTTCTGGGTGGGGCTGCCAGCATGCTCCTACAGGTGCCTTGTCCTTGGTGGGTGGTGGGGGCCCCAGGGAGCCTCAGAGGGCTCATGTGTTGACTCTCTGGATGCCTCTCTTTCCACCAGAACCGGGGTGCACTCCAGGCCATTGATCAGATGTCCCTGTTTAGGCCACTGTGCAAGTTTTGTGCTTCTGTGCGGAGGGTGCGAGACATCGTGCCCACTCTGAGGGCTGCGATGGCTGCTGCCCAGTCAGGCACCCCAGGTAGGTGGGGGGCATGTGCTGGGCAGTGGTCAGGCCCTAAGTCCTGGGTCTAGGGAGCCATGGCAGGCTCAGTATCCTTCCTGCCCCTCTGCAGGCCCAGTGTTTGTGGAGCTGCCCATTGATGTGCTGTACCCCTACTTCATGGTCCAGAAGGAGGTGGTGCCAGCCAATCCGCCCAAGGACCTCATGGGTCGACTGGTCTCCTGGTGAGTAGCCCCACTCCCACCATGCCCTCTCCAGCCTCCTGCCCTCTTTTGTAACTTCCTGCCAGCATCTGTCTCTCCTTTGACCATTCATCGGCTTGCATGTCAATTGAGTGGGGGGAGGGCAGCCATGGGAATAGCATTCTAGGTAGAGGAACTACATATGCAAAGGTCCTGAGGCAGGAGCAAACTTGGTGGGTTGGGAAAGCAAGGTAGCCTATGTGGCAGTAGCAGGTAAGCAAAGGGGCAGGGGCTGAGCTCAGAGCAGCCAGCAGGGGCCATTGGGAGGACCTGGATTTTTTTTTTTTTTTTTTTTTTTTTTAATTTGAGTTCCATTGAGAAGCATTACAGGGCCTTTAGCAGAGGCGTGGGATACCCTGATTCAGGTTTTTATGTTCTCTCTGATTGCTCTTGGAGAATGGACTGTGGAGTTGGGTGGAAGCTGGGAAGCCAGGGAGGAGGTGTGGTGGGCCTTGGGATGAGAGGCAGTGGTGGCCTGGATCCGGGTGGTGGCCGTGAGATGCAGAGACACGGATGGATCACATGTGAGTGCTTGGACCTCCATCTGGCCAGGATAAGGGATAAGCTCGAAGGTTTTCCTAGAAGAGCTACAAACTTGAGGGGGGCTTCTTTCAGTTGAGAGGCTAGAAAGGGGTTCCAGCCCAGGCAGAGGTATATGAAAAAGATCTGTTTTTGGTCACCACTGAGATGGGCCTGGCTGACAGCACAGGAAAGAGAGTCGATTCTCCTTCCCCTCTATCCCTTCCCTTTGCCTGTGTTTGCCCTTCCATCTTCCGTTCCCCTTCCACCACATACTTAGCGAGTGCCATACTTAGCAGGTACCAGGATAGGCAGGCCGTTGCCCCCTTGAGAGACAGCACCTTGAGGGCTGGCTCGGGGTAGCAGTTTTATTCATGTGTCTTTTATAACAACCCTGAGTCAAGATGGAAAGGTATTATTATGGGTGTTTCATAGATTGGGTAACTGGCCCCAAGGGGGCCAAATCACTGGCATGAAGTCACCCAGCTTGTTACTGGCACACGAGGATTCAGCCTGGAGGACCCCTCGGTGCTTTGTCCACAGAGCTATGTGCTGTCTATAATGAATGAAGTGAAAGCCCAGAGCGATGGGTCCAAATCCCAGGACTGCGGCTAACTAGCTGTGTTAACCTTGAGCAAATGGTGAAGCCTTTCTTTTTTTCCACCAGTTTAATTGAGATTACACAGGGCGAAGTTTAAGGTGGACAGTGCAATCATTTAATCTTCCTTGACTGCACCTTCCTTATCTGTAAAATGGGGGAGCGCTGCTTGTTTTTCTCTCTAGACTAAGATTCTGTGAAGAATAAAACGAGGTCATTTTGATAGTGTAAAATGCGGGAGTGAATAATTAACTGTTATTTTCTTAAATAAGGATACGGTCAGAGTCCAGTGTCCCTATCAGGTGTGAGGCAGGGTGTCTCCCATCTTTTCTCCAGCATGGTTAGGGATCCACAAATACAGAGGGGGATTCAGGAGTCCTGAACACGTAGGAAGTGGCTGGTGACCCGGTCAGGGAGGCTCAAGTGTCAAGCAGTTTTATTCTGTGGCGGTGACAGCAGTCTCTCTGCTGCTGTCCCCCCCTCCCTGCCCTGCTCCCCCCCATCCTCCATTCACCTCTTCTTTGTTATTTTTTTAATTTTTTAAAATTTCTTTTTAAAGATTTTATATATTTATTTGACAGACACAGCAAGAGAGGGAACACAAGCAGGGGGAGCAGCAGAGGGAGAGGGAGAAGCAGATTCCCCGCTGAGCGGGGAGCCCGATGTGGGACTCGATCCCAGGACCCTGGGATCATGACCTGAGCTGAAGGTGGACGCTTAACTGACTGAGCCACCCAGGCGCCCCTCCATTCTCCTCCTCTCTCTCGGGCTCCCCCTACTCGGCCCCTAGTCCTTTCTTTGCCTTTTCTTTTTATGTTGGTTCCTTCTTTGGCCTTTTCTCATTGTCTACAATCTCGGTTCCTCCTTAAAAGAGAAACAGAAGCTTCAGGCTATGGCTGCTTTCTGCCAACGCCCACGTGTCTTGTTTTTGGTTGGGCTGGGTGTTCCTCAGGGAGGTCAGAGCTGGGCAGGAGGTATCTCTCTGTCTCCAGGCCCTGCACTGGCCCACACAGATGGTCGGGGCCCTAGGACCCAATGAGTAAAGAGACAGAAGGAGATGTCAGAGCCAGAGAAAGCGGCTTGAGTGCTAGGGATATTAGTAGCCTCACTGATACAGTGTTTCGCAAAGTGCTTCATATCCTGGATGGATAGGTAGCGAACCTTGGAAGGGAGATTCCCTTTTACATTTTACCTTAACTTCAGAAAGGTTAAGTCACTTGCCAGGTCACACAGCTAGAAAGAGGAGCCGCATGTGGCTGCCCTCGCAGCCGTCCGTGGCCCTGATCGTGGTACTCCACGCCTGTGTCACTTGTTTCTGAGGGTCTGTGTCCGGTTGGGTAGTCGCCAGAAGCTTCTGAGGGAAACTGGCTCCTGGAGACTTGGCCATTGGCGTGTGCCTCTCCTGGTCCACTCCTGTGCCTGTCTCACTTCCCTGCTAGACCCTGGCCTCCTCCAGCTCCTGGAGCCCCTGTCACTGATCCTGGTAACCGTTTCTTCCTCTCACCTTTGCAGGTACTTAGAGAATTACCTGGCCAACCTCTTTGCAGGAGCCTGGGAGCCTCAGCCTGAGGGCCCTCTGCCTCTGGACATTCCCCAGGCATCCTCCCAGCAGGTGAATTGCTTCTCTTCCCTGGCTGAGGACCCCCACCTGGCAGGATGGTCTCTCTTTGAGTCAGTATTGGGGCGTTGATCTTGGGGGCTGATAGTGACTCACACGGTTGGCTCTTTGAGCCCCATCTCTCATCCCAGGTTCAGCGCTGTATGGAAATCTTGAGCCGAGCCAAAAGGCCCCTTATTGTGCTGGGGAGCCAGGCTCTGCTGCCTCCGACACCTGCTGACAAACTTCGGTGAGAAGGCTTAGCCCTGCCCTTACTATCAAATACCTGGTCCCTGGTCTCCTGTTGCCTTGCGGGCTGGGGCATGCCCTCGACACTACACTCACCTCTGTTCTGCCCGGATCCTCAGGGCTGCTGTGGAGACCCTTGGCATCCCCTGCTTCCTGGGAGGGATGGCGCGAGGACTGCTGGGCCGCAACCACCCCCTCCACATCCAGCAGAACCGGAGCGCTGCCCTGAAGAAAGCAGACGTTGTCCTTCTGGCAGGTGGGCCTCGGCCTCCGCCCTCTTCCTGTTTCCTCCCTCCAGGCACCTCCCCCCCCCCCTTTGTGACCCTGACCTTCCTAGTCAGGTACTTACTGGCACCCTACCCTCATAATCACCCACGGTCTTATCTTGGGCCCCACCCCTTCCCCTTTCAAGGGTTTAGACAACCGCGTACTTTGAAGTCTAGGCCAACTCTCGCAAGGTTGCCACTGTGTTGTAGGACTCAGTTTCACACAGAGGGGAATGCACGGATAGTGGGCACCTGCGGTATTTATGTTCAGCATTTGCATTTGTATGCTTTATACAGGATTTCTGTAGCACAGACACGTATGGCATGTGCATTTTCATGTGAAGTATTTGGAGTCCTGCCCCACACGTAATAATTTGATCCGTTCTCTGTTGGGTAATAACCATCCCTAAATTCGGTGACTTGAACTTATCATTTCTTAAGGTCCACCCAGAGGTTAGGTGGTAGTTTTTCTGGTTTTGACGGGGCTCATTCATGAGTCTGGAGGTGGAGAGGCAAGAAGGCCTCTGAGCTGGGCTGGGCTGGGCTGGCACATACACTTGGCCTTGGCTGACTACAGGTTAGGCTGGCATGGCCTTCGCAGGGATAACTGAGTTCTTTCACTCTTCCCTACCTCTTTGTCCGGCTTTCTTACCATCCAGCAGGCTAGCCTGGGCTTGCTCACTTGGTGGAGGATGAGAAACGTGCAGGGATGGGAGAGCAAGGTTTTTCAAGGGAGACAGTAGAAGCCACAATTCTTGAAGCTTGGTCTCGGGAACGCCTGCCTTCAGCTGCCGCACTCGATGGGCCAGAGCACGTCCCCGAGGCCAGCCCAGATTTGAGGGGTGCGGAGCTGTGAGGTCACTGCGGTCGGGAGTGGTAGAGTGAGAAAGGAAGAATGGGGGCCCTTCTGCATTTAGCTTGCTGTGGTGGATTAAGTAAGGTGGTGGGACACTGGCTCTCCAGCCACTGAGACCCTGTTCCCCACTCCAGGAGCCGTGTGTGACTTCCGTCTGTCTTATGGCCGTGTCCTCAGCCGCAGCAGCAAGATCATCATTGTCAACCGTAACCGGAAAGAGATGTTGCTTAATTCAGACATGTTCTGGAAGCCCCAGGAAGCCGTGCAGGGTGAGCTCTTGGGACCCCCCCCCCCCAAACACATGTATGCTCTTCCCTGTCTTCCTTCTGACCTCTGCTGTAGCTGGCTTGAGCCAGGTGCTGGTGAGCAAAGCCCAGACCCTGCCCCGGTGGCACCCAGTCAGCCAGGGACACACATTTGGCTCTCAGACTGCTGGGTGCTTCTGGATGAACAAATGGTGGGGCGTGCATAAGAGGGAGGGCCTGGGAATGTGCATGTGATCTTGCCCCTGGTTGCAAACCTTCCCATGCTGCCAGCTGCCTGGAGGACAGAGATCTTCCTCCTGGGCCCCTGAGGCCTCTGTTGTCCTGTCATGCCATCCCTGTTCAGTCTGCTCCCACAGCCTTTATGTGCTCTGCTCTGCCCATTGTTCCAAGCATGTTGACGGTGCTACACGGAACTCTTGCATCAAGCGGAGAAGTGGCATTGCCGCGTTCGTGTTTGGGCAGGTCCACTGTAGTAGCTGGTAGGCTGTGAGTCGGAGAGGGCAGGTGGAGGCCAGGGGCCCGTTAACCCCGGGCCAGGACAGAAAGGACGAGGCCCGGAGTGGGAGCAGGCAGGGAAGACAGACTCCGCTTCTGAGCCTCCATGGGATCATTTCTAAGACCGAGATGAAAAGTACATCACTGGCCCATTTCTCGGTCACTTCACAAGCACTCTGCATGTCTGGGTTGGAGAGACGTGCTTGGCTGATGAAGGTGTTTGGAGGGACGTGTTTTAGAGTCAGGACTGATAGCACTGCCTGATCTGGGGGGTGAGGAGGAGGCAGGCAACAAGGCTGCTTGGGATTCTAACCCACTTCGTGCTTCCTAAACGTTCATTTCTCTGGCCTTGCTCTCTGCCTCACCTTGGCTGCCCTAACCTGGTTCTGGCAGACTTCTGGGGTGTGTTTTACCTGTTTTGCCCTAGGAACATCCCCGGCCTGCCTCCTTGTCTCCTGCTGGAATGTTGCCACTGGATTCCTGCTGTCACTGGGCCTCTGATGCTGGAAGGGCAGGAGGCCACTTCCCTGCAGCTGTACCCTCTTCCTTCCCTAGGAGACGTGGGCTCCTTTGTGGTGAGGCTGGCGGAGGGCCTTAAGGGCCAGACGTGGGCCTCAGACTGGGCAGAGGAGCTTCGGCAAGCTGACCAGCAGAAGGAGCAGGCCTTTCGGTGGGGACCGGGGTGGAGTGGACGCATGGGCTGGGGGTGTGGCTGTGGGTTCCTGGAGGGCTCTGTTGCTGGCCCTGCTGACGTGTGCCGCTCCATGGCAGGGAGAAGGGGTTGATGCCTGTAGCCCAGCACCTGAACCCAGTGTGGGTACTACAGCTGGTGGAGGAAACTCTGCCTGACAACTCGATTCTGGTGGTCGACGGTGGGGACTTCGTGGGCACTGCTGCCCACCTGGTGCGGCCCCGTGGTCCCCTGTCCTGGCTCGATCCTGGTAAGGAGGGGCCTGTGCCTGGGACAGCTAGCATTGTCCAGGCCCCTTTACACCCACCTGCTCTTGGTCTTCCTAGGGGCCTTTGGGACTCTGGGCGTTGGTGCAGGATTTGCACTCGGGGCCAAACTGTGCCGGCCGGATGCCGAGGTGAGTGAGGGTGCTGGAGGCGGGGGGCAGTGAGTGGGTTTTCTGGGCAGTGAGCCACTCAACCAGCCTTGTTCCCTGCTTAGGTGTGGTGCCTCTTTGGAGATGGAGCTTTTGGCTATAGCCTCATTGAATTTGACACCTTCGTCAGGCACAAGGTGACCGAGCTGCCCAGAGGGAAGCTCGGAGCTTGGGGTTCTGGGAGAGGTCATCGGGGTGGGCAGGGCTAGGGAGGGAGCTGCTTCTGTCTGGCAAAGGTCCTGTCCCTGTCTTTGTCCTCTGGCTGGCCAAGCCTTAAAACTGAAGGCTGTGGCCTGGCCTCATCCTTTCTTTGCAGATCCCAGTGATTGCTTTGATAGGGAATGATGCTGGCTGGACCCAGATTTCTCGGGAGCAGGTGCCCTCTCTGGGCAGCAATGTGGCCTGTGGCCTGGCTTACACTGGTGAGAAGCTGGGGTAGGGTGGAGAGAGGGTGAAGCTGTTTCATGCGTTCCTCTCCTGGGCTGACTGCATGGTGTCCTAGGTCCCTGCCACCATCTCACTTGACTTCCCCTTTTAGATTATCACCGGGCAGCCATGGGACTTGGGGCCCAGGGCTTGCTGCTGTCAGGGGAGAAAGAAGATCAGGTGGTCGAGGTGCTTCGTGATGCTCAACAGCAGTGCCGAGGTGGCCACCCGGTTGTGGTCAACATCCTCATTGGGAGGACAGACTTCCGAGATGGCTCCATTGCTGTGTAGGGCCTCATGGGTCAGTACCCTTGGCCTTCCCACCCCTGGACTGTGCCTGGCTGGTTTAGAGTCTCCTCCTTGCCTGCCTTGGACTTGGCTGATCAGGTCCAGTGACTCTACAACCCTCCCTGAGGACAGGGGCTGGGGCGGTCAGAGCTCAGAGAAGTTCCCTGGCAGCACTGGAGAGCTCCTGGGCCTTTTTCTCTGGGCACAACTGCCCTTTCTCCCTTCCTCTCGGGCACACTGAATAAACCACCCGTGTGGGCCCCAGCACTCATTCCAGAACTTGTGCATACTGATTTATTGTCCACAAAGATGGAAGTGAGGGAAAAGGGGGAGACAGGAGGGGACCTACTCTCCCACTGGAACTCTGGGGACCACTGAGGCTCCATTACTGGGGATTTCAGGGTGCCTGGCCACTGCAAATTCTTTCCCCCTCATAGGTCCCTGAAAGAGCCCCATACACCTGTCCCAGACGTGTCCATGCACACTAGTCCTCACACACAGACACACACGCACGGAGGCAATAAATATGTTCCGTACCAAAGTGCCCCCAGCCTGACATTTCAGGTGGGGCCCCTCCGAAAGGGAGGTCTTGTAAGTGCTCAGTTTTTTCAGGGATGTGGAGGAAGAACAGGGGAGGGGAAGGGCCAGACTCTGCTATCTCCATTTCCTGGTTTGAGGCAATCACGGGGCTTTCCCTGGAAGAGAGGGTAGGGAAACCAGCTATTTTTCTAAAGGCCCTGGGCTGCCCTTAATCCAGCCAGAGCCCAGGATAGGGGCTTTCCCTCACCCTGCCCCAAATAGCACCTCATGATAGTCCTTGGACCCTCCAGGGCAGGGAGAAGCAGAGTGCGGTGCTTAAAGCTAATACTGATTTGGTTGGCAGCAGCAAGAAGACGGATGGGGTGGGGGGCTTGGGGGTGTAGAAGAAGGGGGGTCGGTGTTCACCATCCCGGGGTGATGCTCACAGTAACTGGTGATTCCCTGGCCAAGGGGGAGGGGCAGGAGAGGCCAGCCCAGCAAGCGGGAGAAGTGCCTTTTGCCAGCAAGGGGAGAAGCTCTTGGTACTCAGAAAAGATGTCCCCAACAGCTGGTCCCGAAAGTCCCCAGTCCCCAGGCTTTGCAACCAGTGCCCCACCACTGAGCACTGGAAAGGAGGAATGATTCTCAGCAACGGGCTGGCTGGTCACTAGGCAACTCCCCAGCAACCGGGGCCCGGGGCGACCGGTCTGGTCCCCTCCGGTCCCCTCCGGGGCGCCGCCTCAGCAGCCAGGAGCCCGGCCCTCCGTGACCGGGGTCCCGCCCCGCCCGGCTCAGAGGCACACATTGATCTGCTTGGAGAGCTCTCGCTCCAGGTCCAGGATGAGGGCGTCGAAGTCTTTGAGGTTCAGGTGCGGGTTGAAGGGCGCCTCGAAGTCGTCGTCGAAGTCTGCGGCGCCCGCCGGCTCCCCCGCCTCCTCGTCCTCGTCCTCGCTGTAGCTGCCCGTCACGTGGTCGTAGTCCGGCCCGGACAGAAAGTCCCGCCCGCACGGCAGGAAGTCCCGTCCGCACACGCTCCAGTCGCCCGCGTAGCGATTGCTCGGGGGGCTCTCGGGGCCGCCCCGGCCGCGGGGCCGAGCCACCACTTCGGGACCGGCGAGCGGCAAGTGCAGCGGCGGCTGCCGTTTGGGCCGCAGGTACGGGGCGAGGTCCTGAGGCTCCGGGGGCCTGCGGGGATCTGCGGGGAAGAGCGGTGCTCGTGAATGGCTGCCTAGCTAGCCAGAGCCCTGACTGGCCCGACGGGAGACCCGACCGGCGACCGCAAAGGGATTTCACTGGCCGAGCTGGACCTGGTTGCTTAGGCACCCGGCCCTCTGATGGGCAGGTCAAGAGGCAGGGCCTCTGACCGCGTCGAGCATGGATTGGCTCAATCTGAACGGGTTGCTGAGGCTACCAGGTACCGGTTTACGCAAGGGTCCACGCCGGGGGCGGGGGGGGGAGGGGGGCGTGGCACGCCTGAAGTCCCAGACTCTGATTGGTCGCCCGAGAAAGCATCGCTGCGGCGGCCTAGCCTGGATTGGCGGCGCGGGCCAGGGGCGGGCTCACCTGGCCAGGCCTGCAGCAGGTAGTGCAGCACTTCGATGTGGCGCTTGAAGTCCACTGCGTTGGTGAGGCCCGGCCCAGAGCTGCGGATGCGGGGCCTGGCGGTTGCCTGGCGCGCCGGCAGCAGCACGGGACCGAAGCACACGGCCAGGTTTTGCGGGGTCATGCGGTTGTGGGCGTGGAAGGAGGAGACGAGGCGCAGGTGGTCCAGGAGAAGAGTCAACGTGGCCTGAGAGAAGACGGTTGGGAATCATGAGGCGGGTGAAGCGGCCCCCCTGTCAAACCTGAAGGGAGACTAAGGCGGCCCGGAGTGGGGAAACTCGAGATCTCATAGCTGGTTGATGGCTGCGCTAAGGCTTTGATATAAGTATTATAATCCTATTTTGCTGGAGGGGAGACTGAGGACAAAGGCAACTTAGCTTTGGAATGGCAGAGCTTGGATTTGAACCCACTCCTCTCTGTATTAAGCAGGGCTAGCATTAGTCCTATTTTAGGGTTTATACCCCATGAGGGTATTGAGGCACAGGGGGTCAGGACTTCTCCAGGATCCCACAGCCAGGAACCTCCCTTGTGGTAGGTTGACAGACCTGTATTCAGAGCCTGCATTTTTGTGATATCCTGGCTGTGCAACCTTGGGCAACTCACTTAACTGCTCGGGGCCTAAGTTTCCATAGCTATGAAGTGGGGATACTAATAGCACCTACTTTCTAGGGTTGTGACAATGCCACAAGTTCATGCACATCATGGGCTCAGGTGTGGGTGAAACACTCTACTGGTGTCAGCCCAGTCAGTCCTGCCCACTCCCAGCAGGTCCAACTTACCCTCTCCACATCTGGCAGGCAATTGAGGAGCCCACGGGTGCCCTCAGTGCTGGAGGGTGCCCTGCTTGGGGGTCCTTGGGCCATGGCCTCCAGCACCACCTGATAGAGGGCCTGGGTGATGAGCGGGGTGGGCAGTTCCCGAAGATAATCCTTGAGGATGCCTGTGGACACAGGGCCCACTCTGGTCAGGGCACCCCTGGCTTCTGAGGCCGGAGGGGTCAGCTGGGGCTGGGAGGGGGAAGAGGAGGGACAGGCACAGGAGAGTGAAAACGAAGCCAGACAGAAAGGGTGAGGTCCCAGAGGGGCCACAGGGACTCCCTTGAGCTGAAGTTTGAATAGGGAGCAGGCAGGGGACAGAAAGGGCATGCTGACCAGTGATGACATTGATATCAGGATACAGGTCCTCCGAGAGGCAGACGGCCGCACTGTCCCGCTCAAAGGCATCCCGAAGCTCTTTCTTCACGGCCGCCGAGCCACACAGACGGTACAGCCCCACCACCTAGGGGTGGGGACAGAGAGAGATCTTCTTGCCTGTGCCACAAACTGATCAGGACCGGGTGGAGTGGGGGCTGGAGGTCTGGAGGTCTGGAGGTCTGGGTCAGGGTGGCAGTGGGCTGAGGGGTTGGGGGCTGGCTGTGGCTTCACCAGCTGCCTTCCTGCTCCTCTGACACCTGTCATGGGGTCCCCACCTGGCTGCCTGAACGACCTGGCCCTGGAAACCCTCTGCTTGGATCATTCGTCCTGGCACCACCCTCCTTCTCAGCTCACTTGTCACCTCCTCTGGGAAGCCTTTCCTGACTACTCCAACCAGCATCAGATCCTGTTTAAGCTCTCCCAGCTTCTTCACTCTTGTGCCAGCCCCAGTTTTACACTTGTGAGTCACTGGAATCATGTCTTTTCTCCCATCAGACTCTGAGCTCCAGAAGATCTGGGACCATGTATTACTAAACGGTTGGATGACCTATGGGTTCTGGGCTGGGTGCTATGGCCTAGGGGAGCCTCCCGCCCTTGTCTAAGCTGGGATTGGAGCTAGCTGTGTCCCAGGCAGGGCGGGTGTGTGGGGAAGGCCTGGCCTCTGTTTGCTGGGTGTCCTGGGGTATAGGTCTGAGGGCCAGCTGGAATGGGGCAGGGGGCTCACCCGCAGCCCTCGGCGCTCGATCTGCCCAACACACTTCTGGATGATGAGGGGCACCTGGCCCGGGGGCTTTTCCCGCTCCACCAGCAGTGGCAGGGGCAGCCCAAAGACTCGGGGCTCAGCTGTGCCTGGTGCTTCCTGCTGCTCTGACAGGGTCAGCTTGGCGTACAACAGCCCCTGGGGCTCCAGGCGCACTGCCAGTTGCTGGGCCTGGCAGCCTGAAGACACAAGGGGATCTGTGGGGTCTGGCCCCACAGGCTCCTATGCCCTGGCCCCCTGCTCCAAGCCACACCCCCACCCTGGACACTCTGGGGGAAAGGCAGATCTGCATCCTGTGCCCACCGCTCCTCCCTTGCAGCCAGGTATCCTACCTCGGAAGACTGTGGGTAGCAGCACAGTGCCCTGGGCGCAGGGCCGGTGCCGCCGGACACCGGGGTCCCACGCCAGCACCAGGGCCCGCAGCAGCCGGGCAGCCTCGAGTTCCAGGTGGAAGGTGTGGTCCAGCCGCAGGAAGTCCGGACCCCCCCTCAGTGGCCCCGTTCGGGCCCGGGCCACCCCATCCACCTGCAGTAGGCAGCAGAGGTCTCTTGGGGTGGCCCCAGGTGCCGGCCGCAGCCCCCCCAGCCCATACAAGTGTAGGCTGAGGCGGCCCCAGAGTGCGGCGGGGGGTGCTCGGGCTGATGGGCCCACCTCGTAGGGCCGGAAGGCAGTGGGCGATGGGGGCCCTGCCGGGCGCTCCGGTGAGTCACCATCACTGAGGTAACCGGCCCGAGGGCCCCGTGTGGCCCCAGCCCCTGCTGCCCGTCCCGGGGTCCCCACACTGCTATCCAGGTGGTAACGGCTGATGACGGAGCCCTCGGGGGCAGCCCTCTCACGCTCTCGGCCAGCCCGGGTGCCCCGCAGGCTCAGTCGGCGCCGCAGGTCAGGCAGCTTCTTCATCTTCATGGAGAGGCGCCTGGCTGGACCGGGGGACTTCGTGCGGGAGGCTTTGGTTGGGGGGCTGGCAGGGGCTGTGCCTGGGGAACAGCAGATCTCAGGGTTCAGAAGCTTGGGCTTGGGACAGGGGTGAGGCTTGTGGTCATCTTGGGGGGCTGGAGGTATGAGGCTTGTGCTCACCTTGTGAGGCCGGGCCCTCTAGTTCAGCTGAGCCTGGTTGTGGTCCCCCGGGCTCAGGTGCCAGGGGTCTGGAGTCTTCCTCAGGAATAGGGTTGTACCAGATTTCACCAGCGGGCTCCC